AAAAAACATAATTATTCCGCAGAAATTGATGGAAAAATTATTTATGGAAGTTTCAAAATGCGTCCGATTAGTCGTATAAAGTCTAAAATTTCTCGGGGGATGCCCTTTGGACCCCCCCCCTCCGTGCTTGAGGCCCGGACCTTAAAACTGGTACCAGGGCCCAAGATGGGATTTGGCGAGCCTGCATGAAGGCTATTTCCATTCAAATCTTCAGTCACATTCAGGCGCAATGATACAACTATTTGAACTCTCCGGAATGTGTGAGGTATCCCGCCGCATTTGAAGGTGTTTTCAAAACAGCCAAGTTCCGTTATCGGAATAATCGTTTTGTATAGTTCATATTCTTTTGTTATATTCCGTGCCACTTGTTTATTATTAATCATCGTAGAAAAACCACCCATTTGTAAATACAATTCTAGCTGAAGCGCACTTCAGCTATGCATTCACCACTGCAAAAATTTCAGAGGAAATCGACACGCCCAGCGTGCATGGAGGCTATTTCCATTTAAATCTTCCGTCACATTCTTACGGCGCAATGATACAATTATTTGAACTCTCCGGAATGCGTGAGATATCACGCCGCATTTGAAGGCGTTTTCAAAACAGCCAAGTTCCGATACCCGGATCATCGTTTTGCATAGTTCATATTCTTTTGTCATATTCCGTACCACTTGTTTATTTTTAATTCTCGTAGAAAAACCACCCATTAGTCTCAGAGTCTCCAGTCTGGGCATCCTCGACCTCAATGGCTCATGGCTCAACTTTCTTGGCATAGACAAACGCAGGGGGAGTCGAGGGGAGTCTGGCCCTCATAGAACTGAAAATAGTATCATATGCCCCCCCCCCCCAAAAAAAAAAGAAATAAATATTTTGCAGATGTTTTGAATGCAACAATTTGCAAGTATTTTGTGCTGAAAGTAGGGAAAAAAACATAATTATTCCGCAGAAATTGATGGAAAAATTATTTATGGAAGTTTCAAAATGCGTCCGATTAGTCGTATAAAGTCTAAAATTTCTCGGGGGATGCCCTTCAGACCCCCCCCCTCCGTGCTTGGGGCCCGGACCTTAAAACTGGTACCAGGGCCCGAGATGGGATGTGGCGGGCCTGGGTGAGGCAGGCTGCCGCACCAAGGATCGGTTGTTTTGCATACATTTAAATGAAGGAAAAACAGCATTGCCAATTTTCAAAAACCGCCACTGGTCGGTTAGGTGCGGTCACGAGGAGCCGTTCATGCCCATTTTGAGGTTACCTATTTTGAAGTTCGAATGTACCTTTTTTACCTATTCATCTTATTTTGAGGTGCAAGGCAGGATAAATAATGCTTTCAATATACTTCTTAACAATTGCTTTTATTTAATCAATTATTTCAGAACAAATCCAATTAAAAAATAGTCAACAGCAGATCGGGAAAAAATTATATTCTATATGATTAGCTTCAAATCACGCTACATTTTGGGGTATTAAAATAAATCAGTATGAAATCAACGAAATCGAGAAAAAGGTACAACAATGTCAACCTGATTCACTTCTCTTAACACATCAAATTCAAAACACAAAAACTACAATGCACAAAAAATGGAAATGGTGTTTCAATTAAAGTATATAATAATGATATTAAAATATGATTAACATTTGAATAAAAAATATCATATTTGAATTTAATCGTTGAATTCAGTCAAATGAAAATGTATATTGCCTTTGATACTTCCAAAAATAATAAAAAAAAGTATTACGGCCATAGTGATGCAATAGCGTGGAGGAGGTTTCGTAATAGACAGCACCAAATTCGCTGGATTAATAAAACAAGATACATAAGTCTCGCATCGATTATACTTGAGTAAACACTGTTAAGCGGGGAGACTTTAGGTTTTAAGGAATATTATATCTTTAATTCTGCGAGGCTAAGGAAGAAAGTCGTATGAACCTTCAGACGTTTCCAATTTTCTTGCAATTAAATAAATGTTCGATGGATGTTAAAGTTGTACATGATAACGGTTTTGCAGATCTCTGTGCAAATGTCAGTAAATTTTCTGCATAGTACGAAACAAATTCATTAAAATTCGCAAAAGCATCCCCACCAACGTCTTCTTAAAAAATTAAATTGCTCTTTTAAATCTGACAAGAGCTGATGTGGCTTGGTTCCTTTCTGACAAACGCGGTACAATTATAGAGTGGCCAAGACCTTTACTGCCACGATGAGGAAAAACGCTGAGAAAACCTTCAAATGTTGCCTTTCCCACAGTAATATGTTCATTTTTAAGAAGACTTATGAATATTTTTCCTTTAAATCATCAGATACTTCCGATTAAAATGCAAACTAAACTCTCTGGAAAATTAGAAGAAAAATATTAAGAAGTTTCCCGGAAAATTCGTATTTTATAAAGGGAGAGGCAATGTTCGAAAGTCCATGCGGAGCTCTTCTCTAGCACGACAGTATCAATAAGAGAGCTAAACATTGCACAAAATGGGGACTGAAGCATATGCATTGCTCGAATGCACAACTCGGATAATCCCTATTATTGCTGCTGAAGCCGGAACTACTTACGTTACAGGCACACTTGTGTTTATTTTATCAAGTACTCAAAAATTATCCCTACGTGAGGTGCATCTGGAATTACTGTTGCCAGTATGAACTCTATCACAGATTCTCTCTTTGTTTATGTTTTTTTGCCGCGTTGAGCAAAAATTGCATATCGACATGGTGATTCTATTTTAAAATACGTACTACTTGCTTACCGGGACACTTTCATGACTATGGTAAGAAAAATTTGACCTCTCCATGTTGCAACTGAGTCGCTTGGTTTATGAGATATTACAGTTCCATAAAGAAGTACTTCGATCTCATGATGCCAAAAGCGTTTATACTACTAATTATGTAGATTATCACAATTCTGATTCGGATGTTTCCACAGTGGCGCGGCGTGCTTTGCGATATATCGATTGATCTACCATTTACAGCTATGGAAAAGGATCGATCAACAGGGTGTTCGCTACGAACACCTTAATAATCGATTCTTTACCGCAGCTTCAAATGGGGAAATATCGAAAATCGATCATTCACGCCTCGCTACTGTGTTTCCACCCCTCCATGCCACAACTGCATATTGATGGTGAAACAGCAGAAATTCATATCTCGGTTTGCGGCGTTGCAGACATCCTACCATACTTTATTTTCTACATGATAAACAACTGAGCGTCATTTTTTGAAAATTTGCTGTGCAAATTTCAAGCAACGATGTTGATTCCGTCTTCTTTTAAAAAATAAAATAGGTGTGTGGATTTCGGCACTTTCCAACCCAGATACGAATTTTTGCAGTTTCACAGGCGATATATTCTCAGTTTTTAAACTTTATAGTTCCAATAAGAAATAATCCGACTCTCCATGCTGATATTGCGTTTATTGCTGAGCATGTAAATCATTATAGTTCTATATATATATACCAAGCCTCTCTGTGCTGAAACTATGTAAGCATATTGCTCGGTACCTAATCAATCAGTATAGTTCCAATAATATACATTCCAAAACTTTCTATACTAGAACTGTTATACGTATATTGCTCCTACGTAATAAATCAGTACAGTTCTGATAAAACATATCGTAAACTTCCTCTTATCTGAAACTCAGTATAGTGCTCGGTACGTAAAGTATTGCGGCTCTGATAAAAAATATTCCAACGTTTTAATGCTGAAACCATGTGTATTCCCTAGCATGTGAACCACCAGCAAAAAATAATTCAACCTCTATGTATAGTGTTTCTCATGTGAACCACAACAGTACCGACAGTCGATATCCCGACCTCTACAAACTGAAAACATGTATATTACTCTTCACGTAAATCATTGAAACACCGATAGGAGACATTCGAACCTCTTCATGTTGTGAACATGTATGCTGCTCCAAACGTGAGCCATTATAGTACCGATAGGAAATATTTTGACCTCGCCATGCTGAAACCGTGCATTTTGATCGATTCGTGGACTATTGCAAGAATTTTTTCATCTGTTTGTTTTGCGCGGACATTGAGTACACAGCGTTGTCAGCCTTGGAAAGCATCGAGTCCAATTTATCTACCTGGTTGCTCATTTCTCGATCAAAGTCCATCCTCTTTTGAGACTGAGTCCTCGTGTCTGGTGGATTGGGATTAGCGCATGCCGTTTGCTCCACGCCCTCTCCTGAAAATTGAAGGAAATTATGAAAATTATTGAAGATTAAAAAAGCGTGATTCCAGACCACTCACCGTGTTCCAGCCGAAATCACACTCGAATCGTTCAAAGTATTGGACTATAGTGGACTGGATGAATACTAATGGATCAGTTGCGCTGGTCACAGAAATCGTATTTCGATGCTTAATTCTTGTAGATTAGCTAAATATAATCAGGGCCGGATTAAGGAGGTGGCCACATGGGCCGCGGCCCATGGCGGCAAAATTTAGGGGGCGGCAAATTTTACAATCTTTTTGAATGTAGGTATCAAAAAATGGGAGAAAACAATCGAATTCAGAAAATAAAGTACAAACGAGAAAAAGCGACAAAATCTCTCATTTCCCGAGAGAAAAAGTATAGTAATGTCTAATTTTGTCGTCTTTCGGTGATACAAGAGACAACACCTTTAATTAGTCGAGTTATGAGAGAAACCACACACGCAATTTGACCTGGTACGGAGCGGCGCAGCGGTCGGCATGAAACACAAAGCGCCTGCAAGACTGCATGAATACTTCACGCATTGCGTCAAACAGACTGCGGTCAGCAGCAGTCGCAGTCGGCGTGAAACGCATAGCGCCTACAAGACTGCATGAATACTTCACGCATTGCGTGACAGTGTTGTGACCAAACAGTGTGGTCAGCAGCGATCGGTGTGAAACGCATAGCGCCTACAGGACTGCATGAATACCTCACGCATTGTGACACAAAATATGGCGTCCATCGAATCACCTTAACCACATTTGTGTTTGTTCTTTCATAATTTTTTCGTTCTTTTTTATAAATGGAAGGCCTTGTCCAAACAGGGATGGGTTTACGGAACAGAACTTTTATTAGTGTTGACAGGGCTTTTACAAAAAATGTGCCCAACACGAGTAAACGCGTTTTATACACCCCTCCTCCACATCACTCGATGGTTTTTATAGATCGTATTCGACAGATCACACAGGTGAGATTATATTGATATCGATTGGTTCAATATGTAACCAAAGCCTCAAAAGTCAATTTAGAAATCTGACGTAACGGGTCTTATGTGATCGAATTTTTATTCTCTCGAGTACCAAATGGCAATGAAAAGTGAAATTGTTAGGAATGTTCTTATTTTCAGCTTTTCCAAATAAAATCCTAAAATTTGTGTTTGAGGTAATGTTCTATTGTTTTGAACCAAACGATACATCGAACCACTGTCGAATACTATCTATTGATGTTTCAAAACAGATGAGAAGGGGGCAGAAAAATACAGGCGGCCCATGGGCGGCATGTAGGTAAATCCGGCTCTGAATAAATATGATCCGTCCAAAAAGCGACGGAATTTGGACGAACTCCGAAAATTCTGACATGGCTTGTAGTTCTTTACTGCAAAATTCAGTCCAAATGAGGTAAAGCGCTGATTTTCCATCAGTTTCTAGCAGTAGCGATACTTGTAACTTGGCAACACTGGTTTTCCTCCATTTAAATGTTTGCAAAACAACCGATTATAAATGAGGCACATTGCCTTATTAATTATGTTGGTGAGACAATGTACCTCATCTAGAATCGATTCTTTTGATGGATTTGAATGGAGAAAAAACAATGTTGCCAAATTTCAAGAATCCCACCGTTATCTAGCAACAATGCTTCGATCCGTTCAGCAACCCCATTAAGGTTGTGTCATAAATTGCATTGTACCTGAGTTCTGGTTGTCAAATTTCTTCGTAGGTGCTGGCGAAGGGCACGGGCTGGCGTCATTTGAGTTGGGTTCGGATCCTCTGAGTCTAATTTTTAGTAGATTGCTTAAATTTCCGCAGGCTGACTGAAAACACGAGACAATGACTTGTTAATTGACTCGTTAGTAGGCGCTTGTAAAGAATTTTATGAGCGAGGAGGGGTTTTTGCAGGGGTCGGAACCCCTCATCTTCATGCATTTTCGACAAGCAACTCTGAAAATCTGAGGATTTCAATTTTCCAGGTACTGATATCAATTGAAGAGATATCATAGTGAGAGAGCAATAGGAGATAGGTTCGTTTAACCTAAAAACTTGCTTTAGAACGGTTAGAATGGACATTTTTTACAGCGCCAACTCAGTGGCGTGACTTTCGCACCTGCCGCCCCCGCCCGGGGGAGGGGGGGGGTGGTTGCATCTTTGTGAAGGGGGCAAACATTGCAGAGAAAAAGCGCTACTCAGCATTTTCTCAATGGAGGGGCGCAGTGCCACAGATTCGTAGGGGGCGCAAAGATTCCTAGCTTCGCCACTGCGCCAACTATGGATGTATACAAATTATTTTGCTTCATTTTGCTTTGAAATTTTTCAGATTACAATTGTATGGTTGTGGGATGGAGGCACTTCTAACTTCCCCGAAAAATAATCGTGATACTGAACTAGCGTATAAATAGACGCACCTTCATTGGACGAAGTAGGCAAAATGAGGTCCCACCAGCAGCAAGAGGGGTACGGTGAAATTACGACACACATCTCGATTTGCGACTTTGCACAATTTTTCTTAATTTCCATTGTTGTTTTTCATTCAGTGATCATTGAACTAACATTTCCATCATCTAAAATTCCTGAGATGCCGTTAGTTCTCAGAAATTCGTAGATTTTGATAATTTCAACAGTCAAACATTATTTCGGGAGCTAAGAGATTCTTTGCATTGTTAAGAAGAATACTCCTCACCATATTATACATATTATAGATTGAGCTGAGATACCTTGAAATTGTTGAGTTTCTTTTGTGTCACTGCCAAAATGTTATTCAATTCATCTAGGCCACCGGAAGCTTGTTTTATGTTTTCACCATCTAAATTGATTTCCTGAGAAGAAACAAAAAGCTCATCAATAAAAAAAAGAAAGAAAAAAATTACATGAAAAACCAGAAACTCCATTGCAAAAGTTTGTTCATTGACTAGAATAATTTCACGTATCGATTGACAGTAATCTTCCCTCTACCGGTTACATGACGTAACGAATAGAACAATGTTTTCCTCATCTCCACAAAAATTCAGCAGTATAATTTTGAAAATAGATCCGTGCAAAAGATTAAAAATTTCAAATTTGACAATGCAAAAATTTCAAAATACAGAAAAAAATCATATCGACCAACGATCGCAAAAAATCGTAGTGCATTTTCTCTCATGTTTTCGTGTTTTGTATTTTTTGTATGGTGCTAAATCATTGTATCCCTTCCAAGGAGCCACTCCCGAAGTTTTACTGCTAAATTTTACTGGAGATGGGCAAAACTTATCCTTTTCATGATGCAATTTAAAGGGCTTCCTAGGACTTCCCTTGATCAAAATGTAAGCCAAATGGGACTTCCTGAGGGAAGGAGCTGTTTAAAGCGGACTATGAATACCAATGCAATACTTAACGATTCCTCTTCCTATTTCGATATTTCTCATGAATCAAAATTTCAACTGGTCCTTAGGGAGGTGATGGTCCTGTTCCACATATATTTTGGTTCTTTGGTCATTCTGGTTTAATCTCATCAGGGTTTTCCTATCATTGTACCACAATGCAATTAAAAAAGGGGAGTTGTTTGAGGAACTGCTATGAATACAATCAATAATATATGATTATTTTTTCTATTTCGTTACTTCTTATAGATCGAAAGTTCAACTGGTCTTTAGGGAGGTGGTGATACTGTTCCACATATATTTTGGTTCTTTGGTCATTCTGGTTTAATCTCATCAGGGTTTGCTATCATTTATTAACCACAATGTAAATCAAAAAAGGGGAGTTTTTTGAGGAACAACTATTAATACGACCCTAAATCAGGCCCATGGAGAAGAGAAGGGATGAAAACGCACCTCTAAAAAGCGGTTGTCGATAGGGTGTGTTTGCTCGTCCTCGTCGTCGCTACACAGCGTGCTCGGGGAAATTTTATTGATTGCGAAGCTCTCCTTGTCGGGTTTCGGCAGACCCAGGAGCTCGGCCCTCATACACTCGGCCTCGAAATCCTGGTCCACGGACATCTCTCCGATTAAGTTGACCCGTTCTCACCCGCGAAATTCCTCCCCGAAAACAATCACAGATAAAATTCAAAACAAGGGTGGATTGAGCACTGTCCCCGTAAATGTCAACAGTTTCAGTTGCGGGGCACCTGCGCACAGTCGCGATTGCGCGCGCCGCGGCAGGTTTGCCGCGACGCGAAAACGAAAATTCCCTGAGAATCGACTCGGGCTCGAGGCCTCCTCGCCCGTTCCGAACATATGGTTGCAGTTTACCTCCTTTTGGGGTTTCTCGCCGGAAAATCAATACATCATGTGGGCTCCACTTCGATGGCCGAAGTACGAAACCACGTATCTCCGTTTGCGAGGTTGCAGACTTCCCGTCGTAATCTATTTTTCCTCCGGGAAGCTAGTCAACGTATTTTCTTGAAACTTCCTTGATTTTTCCTCTCTATTAGCGGAATATTCTGTACACATTTTAAGATTTAAAGTTAGGCTTGTTCCTCTTTGCTAAAATAATGTAGAGGAGGAATTTTTGAAAAACATTTTTTGAGATACGTGGTTTCGCACTTTGGCCATCGACTTACAGAGACAGGAGCCATTTTTCCCCCCCTTTTCAACCACACGATCAGCCTACTATGAATGTGCATCCACGGAAATGAATTATGAGTAATAAACTGTGAAAGATCAACATATATTAGTCATTGATGAATATCGGAATATCTGATCATAGTAATGCATAGAATATCCGTACGATTTACGTACTTTTTAATTTTTTGTTTTACATTTTATACCGTGTGCTAGAATAATATGAGCTGAAATTGTTTGTTCTTTACGGTATAATTAAATTTTAATTTATATTTCTCTGTTTTTTTCATTAGTTATTAGAAAGGTTAATTTTATCAGGCAGGGTATTCTCGTATAAAATGGGGGCCTTGTTTGTTACTCGGTTGGCAGAATCCTCAATGGAATTCTCCGTAACTTAATGTGGGCTTCGTTCCGCTTTTTTAATGAAAGTCTGTACTCTGTAGTAACCCTTAGTGAACGTCATTAAGAGTAGCGTCGGTAAAATTTTTTCCAGGCTACAAACTATCTTGGTTTCCATAGTTGCAGACTTAAAATCATGCTTTATTTTTCAACGAAAAACTACTCATTTTAGTTCCTTGAAAGCCCTTGTAATTCTTTCATTTTTGCGTGAAGGATATTCCGAGAAAATTCATAGGTTTGATGCTATCGCACCAAAAAAATGAATAATGCGAAGGGAGAGATTTTGAAACACCGCAATGGAGATGCATATTTTGTAAACATAAAGCACAACATACATTAATAGTGGGCTGATCGTGTGGTTTTGCAAACTTGAGTCCAAATAAGGTGCTAAAATGAAAGGAAAGAAGAAAAAAAAGGACAAAAATGGGAGAAAAAAAGAGCAACAACGCGTCTCTCACCATAGACGTTTTTGCTAAAACCAATAGAAACTGCGTAATCCTATTGGCAGATATCGTTCACTTGAGGCCCGCCTTCGATGTCGCTGAATAGGCAACAAACATACTGGAGAGCGCGAATAGTTATCTATTCGCAAAACACAAATTTGTTACGTTCTATAACACTCGATGGAACCAGTGAACGATGTTGTTATGAATTGGTAAGTACCGTCCATTTGAAGTCCACTTTCAATTTTGGCAACGAACATACTGGAGAGCTCGAATAGTTTTCTACTCGATAGACACAAAATTATACCGCTTCATGCGATTCATGGAACCAATAAACGATATTGTTAATTTATTGTTAGGTATCTCCCATCTGAATTCTCCTTCAATTTTGCTGCATAGGCAACAAACATGCCGGAGAGCGCAAATAGTTGCCTATTTGAAAAATACAGCACAATCATACCGCTCCATGTCCATGAGCTCAATTCAACCGAAAAACGATGTTCCTGACCTGTTACTTTAAATCCACCATCTTAAGTTCTCCTTCAATTTTTCTATATAGGCAACAAATATACCGGAGAGCGCGAATAGTTGCCTATTCGAAATTTACACATTCATATTGTTCCATGAGCTTTGATTGAACCTATAAGCGACTTCGTGAAACGGGTCCCTCCTCAGTTCTAGGACATCCCTCATATCGTCCCTCATGGGGCGCCTAAATCAATCATGGGTGAAAAAATTCATAGATCCCCCCATGTCCCGAAGTACTCTTTTGATGGGCCCTTTCAAGGAAATACTTTGGTTAGTTATCTTTTGAAACAATACAACTCAATCTGAGGTTTTGAAATGCTGCAATGGCGATACACTTTTTTGACGTGACACTGTTACAGATTTTGGATTGAAATTCTGTGCCGGAGTCTATGTAGCCCCCGAGTCATACGTCTGAGGAGTAGAATATATTCTCCTCATAGAGGGACTTACACTATTATGAGGGGAAATGTACTCTTTTTGCAGAGTGTCACGCTTTTATGGTGCCGATTGCATTTTGAATTCCTACCACTCTCTGGATTTTTGATTTGGTTGCTGTGTAGACTCCATCATCGAATTTTATTCCTCAATTCTTACCAGTGCAATGGCGATAGGAAGGTGTGGATTTAATCGTTCGACAAGTTAAAACGTGAGCCGATTGACGTGATTCAATCGACAACGACTCGATCGACAAAATTTGATCGATTCCCGGGTCTCTCGAACGATACGCGGATCCGTCGATCGATTCACAGGTCTGTCAATCGATTCAAAGAGTTGACGATTGATTCAAGGATCTGTCGATCGATTCACGGGTTTGTCAATTGATTCAAGGTTGTTGATCGAATCATATAGATCGGTTCACCTTTTCGATCTATGCATGTCGATCGAATCGACACCGGTTTTTTTTATAAATTGTCTATCGAATCCGAGTCGATCGATTCACATTTTCATTTTTCATCGATTCATGTCGATCGAATCCCTACCCTCCATAGCGATACACTTTTTGGCGTTAGCTATGGATAGACATAGACACAGACACGGCACACACACTGGAAAAAAAAAAAAACACATCGGATCTAGAGTCCAGACTCTTAAAAACATCGACAAGAAAAAATACTCTTGATTCAATCAGATTTAAGCTTAAATCAAGAACCAAGCCTCTTAATTTGAGCGGATTTCCTTTTGATTTAAGCTTAAATCTGATTGAATCAAGAGTCCATATTCTTGTCAATGTTTTCAAGAGTCTGGAACCTAGATCCAATGTGTTTTTTTTTCCCCAGTGCATAATACTGCCTCGAATATGTGCTCATACATACTAACGACTGAAACCTGCGCTAATAACCTTTTCCCCTCCTCGATGCTCATCAACGAGAGTTCAAACACTCGATGTCGGCAAATACGACACTCGACGTCATTGTCATTGTCATCGTCACCGTCTGTCGATGCGTGTTGTGATCCCCATACGTGGCGGTGTACTTATTTCGATTCATCCCCGCGCCAGGCCCCCGGTCCCTATACTGCCTCAGTTTTCCGGCATCGTCTGCGTCGTGTGCCCGCCCGCGCCCGCGCCTTGCGTCGCGACGCCTCGCTCCGTGCGCGCTCCACGTAAACAAATTAAAAGAAATTCACAAATTCAAGGAGATCATCTCGAAATACTCCGATGCGATTAAAGTATCATCGATGAAAGTTGCCCATACACGCGTCCCTATCGCGTCGTTTCAACATCTCTACTCTTGTTTTATCTTTTTTAGGAAAAATCTATGAACGTTATTGTTCAACATTTTCAAAGGATATTCTGTGCAAAATTTTCAAAAATTCAACATTTTCAAAGAATATTCTGTGCAAAATTTTCAAAAGTTTAACATTTTCAAAGAATATTCTGTGCAAAATTCTCAAAAATTCAACATTTTCACAGTATTATGAAGAGAAATTGGTCAAATTTCAAGAGATGTGATGGATCTGGGCAAAATCTGTCGATAGATGGAAACTTGAATTCGTCAGTAGAACGAAAATCAGGTTTGAATTAGAAAATACATATATTTCCGCTGTGGTTTCATTTATTTTTTTCCGGGAAACTTTATGAACTTTATTCAAAACTTTCACAGTATTATGAAGAGTAATTGGTTAAATTTCAAAAAATGTGATGGAGCTGGGCAAAATCCGTCGTTACACGGAGACTTGAATTCGTCATCAGAGCGAAAAACAGACTTGGAATATAGAGGAGACTTAGATTTCTGCTCTTGCTTTATTTTTTCAGGAAAAGCCTCCAACTCCAATCCTGAAACATGTCCTATTATATGAAAACATTTTAAAGTATGAAATGGATGATATTCAGCGGTCACTTAGGCCCAATGCCCAGTGTTTGTAATTTATCCCTAGACAAAGACTAAAATGTGGCAAAGACTTAGTTTCTAAGTGATACTTGTAGCCAGGGAAGGAGGTTTTTAAAACAACAATAGAACAATCTGAAAATCGTAGTTAGATTCATTACTTATTTTCTTCAATTTTAAGAAATAAAACCCACTACATTTTTTTCTTCCTGTGCGACCGTCCTTACCGTGAGGAATTTTTTTGCAAGTTAGTAACTCATTAATCAGTGAAATATAAGTGGGATTTAGAAGCGCATCTCCATTTCACAATGTTTTCCATTTCTGATCACGGATAAACCTTTAACGGGTACAATATGAAATCCGACGCCTTATCGTCTCATGATACGTTGGTCTAGATTTCTAAATTAAGTCGAACAAACGTAATACACAATAGCAATAGCTTGAAGAATCGCTAAATCTCGATCTAATTTTTTGGTAATCCTACGATGCTGAGGTTTTTCATCTCAATCTGATCCAATTTTTCTTGCGTGTTTTGACCTGTGAAAATGCAAATAAAGTTGTCTCACCAGTGCTCTTCATGTGATCACAATTAGTAATTTCACAATTACCGCGTGCCATTTTTTTACTAACTCAGTACAAAGTATGGTGTGCAAGAACTCTGTGAGATATACTCTCTCCTCCGGAAATAACATTCGGAAGCCAGATTTTTCCGAAATCCTGATCGTCATGCCGCATTGTGAAGCTGCTCACACAGTGGGTTTTTCTAACGACTCTACCTCGACGACCTGAGCAGATGGAATGTTACTCCCTCCATTCGCACTTCAAGAAGTACCTGATGAACCGACTCGGACCGCGGAAAAACGTGTACAACGTCGCGTCGGGGCTCATCTCGGAGCACGAGTCGACCTCCTCGGAGAGCAAGAGCAAGAAGACCTACATCCGATACGACACCTACCGCCCGAGCATCTTCGCCAACGACAAAAACGAACCGCGGGGCAGGCGCTTCAAAAAGTCCGAGCAGCCGAAGTCGGCGAAACTGAGCATCATCGAACGGAAATTAAAGGTCAAAAGCAAAACCGCGCCGCAGAGCGAGACGGCTCACATACTCCCCTCGACCGACGACTCGAATGCGGAAACTGACGTCACGCCGGAATTAACGAGATCCATATCGGAAATTTCGATCGTAAGCGCAGAGGAGAAGAAAGGTGAAGTGCGAGGGTGTACCAGATGGTATGTGGACGACCACCCGAAGGTCACCGATCTTGACGAGGAGGAATCGGAACCAGATCTTCCGGACGGGAAACCGGGTCTTCCGGACGTTAAACCGGGTCTTCCGGACCTGAAACCGGATCTTCCGGACGCGAAGTCAAATCTTCCGGACGGGAAGCCGGATCGTCCGGTTGAACGAGGAGCTTTGGCGACAATCCTGCGGGAGAAGCGTCGGCAGGCTGGGTCAGCGTCTTCGAAGGAAGGGACTGGGAATTTCGGGCCGAGCTCGACGTCGATCGAGGACGCGGATTCCCTGGGGTCGGAAGGGTCGGTCGTGAAGGAAGATTCCGGATCGGTGGAGGGCCGTGGACCGCGAGTTCCGGATCGGGGGAAGTGCGCGAGGAGGAAGATCCGGAGGAGGCCGCGGTTGGAGCGGAGGTCGGTCGCGTCGTCCGACTCGTCGACCGGTTTCGAGAACAGACCGAGACGACCGGTTAAGAATGGACTTCGCAGGGTTAGTGCTGTACACGAATCTCGGCTCTCGGTGAGTACTCGTCAACTTTCAGCATTATATCATTACATCAATGGCGAGGCGTGAATGATCGATTATCGATAATTGCCCATTTGAAGCTACGGTAAAGAATCGATTATTAAGGTGTTCGTTGCGAATGCCATGTATATCGATCATTTTTCGTAGGTTAAAATGAAAGACCAATCGATGTATCGCAAAGCACGCCAAGCTACTGATACCGATCCGTCACATTTTGTTCCGATGTGCCAAGATGGTTCAGTGGCGAGGCGTGAATGATTGCTATCATCGATATTTCCCCATTTAAAGCTATGGTGAAGAATCGATTATTGAGGTGTTCCTTGCAAACACCCTTTATATCGATCCTTTTCCAAAGGTTTAAATGGCAGATCAATCGATACATCATAAAGCACGCCACGCCACTGGTGGTTTATCCCATGCCCATGCCCCAATTACCGTAGGACGCAGTAATTTGATAACATACTGATAACTGATTGGCCCGCGAAAACTACTGCGCAGTGACCTTGCTATTTTGATAGCTTCAGTTTGATCGTGGGATCCACGCGTATGTCGATGCGAATTATTGCAATTGGACGAGTTTTAACACTTACGCCACTTGCAAATGGCGTTTGCTAACAGCCTGCGACAGGTGCAAAACAGATCATGGTTTATGAAGTTTTGACGAAAAAACAACTACTGGAGGGTGACAAGTTGGTGTCGCCAAAAATATCATGGATTGGGTTCCTCTTCGGAGAGGGCGTAGAGGTGCGCATAATAACAGGGTGGGTGGAGGGATCATATCCAATCCAGAGTGTTCAAAGACGAGATTCCAAAGGCAAGGGGCTATGGTTTAACTGAGAACAGTAGCGGTTAGGGGAAGTAGAACCCGAGGGAGTGGTAAACAGCGACAAACATATATATTTTTAGATCCATGACACAATTGACATACAACATGTTGAAATCCACACAAAACATACGACGAGGTTTTTTTATTGTCTACTTCCTTAGAAACAGTATTAGTGCACTCATTGTGTAAAAATTCGATACGAGGTCAACAATCAAGCCTGGGGTTGGCCAACCTCTACGACTTGCGCCTCTTCAACTTATGGTACTCATTAGAGGTGCACAGTAAAAGTGCTTCTTCATTGAGATGAGTATGTAGGTAGCGCTCCTTGTATCTAATTGCTACTCGTGATCTTTGTATTTTGGCCACTGTTTTTTTTTTCCTGGTTCTCTTTGAATGTCTTTTCGCTCATTAAATTCAACATAAATAATCTCTCTGAGCGTAATCCACAGAAATCTTCGTATAATGTTAACCTGAGAAGGTGTAGCAGTTGTAGCACGTGCTCAAAATGGACACTCTCAGACGAAATTGACAAAGTTCATACACATACCTGGCACCGAGCCTTCATTCGGCGCACGGATTATGATGGTTATACATACATATCGACGGTGTAAGTCGGCAATCACATAACTCGGTTTGCGACGTCGCAGACTTCCTGTCATACTTTATTTTTTGAACGGAAAACATCTCACCGGTAATTCTTTAAAACTGTCGTGATTTTTCTTCTCAGTGCGAGGAAAATTCTGCAAAAACTTCAAGGAATGATGTTAATTTGTTTTCCTTTAAAAAAAATAGCATAGAGGCGGAGATTTTCAGACACCGCAAACGAGTTATGTGATTGCCGACTTACACCGTCGATATACCTCAATACATCCAGGGCGGAATGAAAAATAGATTAAACAAACTTATACATTGAACTTGTATGAGTATTGAGTATATTTTATCCCAGGGAAACATAAAAAAGTTTGCACCGCAATCAAGATCGCGAGTTGCCACACCTACAGAGTCTTTTCACCCCTACGCTGCTCTTTCTAGGGGATACTTTGCACGTCCTTGTGGTTAAATTATTCCAGATGTTTGCCTTCATGAATTCATTGTTTTAAATATGTGATATACAACTTTGAACAACAAAATGAAATGAGTGATTATCATCTGGAAGAAACATAAATGTTTTCGCTATTGTCACCTCGACATGAGGCAACGGAAAACAATGTTTTGGTTATAAGTGTCAGTAAAATTCCGCGAACTACCTCCACACCTACCTAAGCAGCAACGATCTAAACGGCAAACAACTCAATAAGTGCAACAGGTGCGTAGTCCAGGAAGTATTGCAAAATTGTTAATTTGTCGCCTTCAATTTTGTGGAGGAGATACGGGCATTTTTGGTAATGTTCGGCCCAGACTTTCATGACAAAAAAAGGGAGCAGGAAATGTGGCTTTACTTCCTATTCACAGGCCAAATCTGCGAGTAATAACTTCGTGTTGGCAAGCCACGATGCGGTCGGGAGCAAAATTTTTAATTACGGGAGCGATTAAATCCAATAACTCGTTGAAATGTACAGTCTCCAAGCGGAACGAGGTCGTAAAGCAGTTGAATTATCTCAAACTTGCCAAAATTTAAGGGTCCAAAAAATCAAGTTGTTACGTATCAAGGATCTAGATTTAAATATGAAACTGAAACTGAACATGAACATGAACATGAACATGAACATAAACATAAACATGAACATGAACATAAACAATTTAATATGAACATAAACATAAACATGAACAGGAACATGCACATGAATGAACATAGCATTAGTATGGAAGGGCAAATTTCACTTAGCTCCGAGATTCCTTTGCTGTTTGTCGTGGGATGCGCGATGCCCGCAATGATACAGAAACCGTCAAAAATACCGTCATTTTTGTCGTTTTTCCCCTCGAAAATTCTTTAAGCATCAATGTAATTACAAGGGAAATCTGGAAATTTGTAAAACTGTTCATATCATTTATATGAAAGGTCAATTTCTACTTGGTCACCTTGGATTTCTCGTTTTCCGTCGTGCATTGGCCGCCATTGTAGAGAAAAAGTAAAAAAATCGAAGTTGAGGTCCAAAAATGTGTGCAACACATTCGAAAAGGCCGCCATGCCTATAATAACTATATATCACAAAAATTGCCCGATTTTTCACGTTATATTTAAAATTGCTTCGACCAGGTTTTTTCCCAATGTTCTTGCCCAATTCAAAAAATCTCAAATATACATCGATAAAACCTGACGTTTTGAACAAAAAAGTGTTTGAAATGAAAGAGTGCCACGTATCGACGAAGAAAAATTGTTCCGTGGCATAGATTGCAACGCACAGCGCCTACAACGCGCGACGTGCATTCTTGATGCAATTATTCGAACTCTCCGGATATGCGTGATGCATACACAAAAATCGAGGGCGCTTTGGCTATCTTGCCCAAACAACGCTTATCAAAACGAACTTCCACGAGTCACCGAAGAGATGAGAGTTTTATTAAGATGCACAGGTCATACTCGGTACACACAAACTCAATGAAGTTCAAGAGGAGTTGAACAAAAGTTGATAATTTACTTAAAACATTATTTTGCGTAAAACATTACAATGAAGTGAGAATATAAAAGAGTCGACGTTACAACTCATTGTGTGCATCGTATAATTTTTCTGTTGCGCATTGTCTCTTGCTGAGTGCCCCCAAAGCTGTTTTTTAAGGGACTTTTTTATTTACATGCATGAGCTTTTCATCTTTAATCTCTTATTGCAGTTTTCACAACCTGAAACGACCAAAAAGGATTATAATTATAATGTTGATCGTAATGTTGTGCAATATGATGCAACAACTGCGTGCAGTTGTGTGCAATTGTGGAATTTTAAGGTAAGAATGAGCATGTATTTGAATCCCAATAAAATACAAGCTCGGCTAAGCAACTTTGTGGGAACGTTGCTGCGACGTTGCTAGACAACATTACTGCTAATCGGAAACGTTATGTTTTAACCGTTTGCAATACATATTTGCAGGTAATTCTCTCACAAGTGGTAAAAATTACGTAAGAAAGATACCAGAAGCATGTAAACAACGTTATTATTTGTATTATGATATTATTACGAGATAACTTACCTCACGCTCAATCTTGAAGGATAAAAGTTAACAAAAGCTCACCTGCCCAAAGAAAAGGTGCCACTTTGGATGATTAGTTGGTGATACGGAAGTGTGCAGGTATAACAAGCAATGATTCTTCAGGTGATTTTGAAGTAGAACTCATATAAAATTCTTCCCATGATCACTGCTTTTTAAAATATTATCTGAAAAAACATTTAGTAGCACGTGAGTCTCCCTGGTAAAAATTGGCAGTAGAATCTGTGTTCCAAAATACCATAGACCTACAGCCGGCTGTAAGATTTCTAATAACTTCTATAGCCGGCTACACATAATTTCTTATAGCCTTTTATAGCCGGTGGCGACCAAGCAATAGCCAGGCAATATGCCAGGCTAGGTGCGTATGCTAAACGTTACTAATTACGGATGCTAGGACTTGGTGAGTTTTTGGAATACTGCTCTCTTTTTGGGCCGTAGGATCTTGATTTATTTTGCGAGGAAAGCTCCGTACTTTTGATGGATGCCTGCTATTACTAATATATTAGAGCGCCTTCAGTTTCGTATGATACTGTGCAATACCTCTGGTGTGAAATAGTTGCTTCAAGCGCCGTGGCACGCTGCGGCGCGGCAGGCGGGCAGCCAGCGCGGAACGCGAATTGGCGCCTACAAACCTAACAGGAATACTTCACGCGTTGCGCAATGCGTGAAGTATCCCTGTTAGGTTTGTAGGCGCCAGTGCGTCGCCGCTCCGCTCCGCTTTGTGTTACGCTCTAATATTTAATCTAGCGGAGGCAGCGTTATTCAACTCATGATTTTGAAATTTTTGCACATCCTGTATGGATTATTCTCATTTTAATTGATGAAAAAAAATATGTAATAAAGGAAAATATAATGTGTGTTTTGTAAGTATGAAGGTGGTTCCGTATCACACTTAATGATTTCCCAAGCACACAAATTTCCACACAATTTCTTATAGCCTTTTATAATCGATGGCGAAAAAGCAACAGCCAGGCGATATAGTGTAAAGCCCGGCGATAGGAAATATAGCCCAGCTGCATAATTTTTTATCGCTTCGTATAGCCCGGCCGTATGATTTTCTCCGCATTCTACAGCCAGCTTTATGATTTTCTGTAGCCTTCTTTAGCCGGCTATAAGAATTCCTATGGTATTTTGAAACGCAGCTCTTATCGCCAATTTTCACCAGGGCTTATATAGATATGTTAACATTTTTACGTGCATTACAGATTTTTTACAAAGAATTTTATGTAATTTTTACATCATTAGTTGGAGAGAAGGTGATTTGGAGAATATCTAATTATTTGCGTAATTATTTTAAAAAAAATAATACGTAAATGATCGCTAAAATTATAATATTTTAACCTAATTTCGCTCAGGGAATCAGTCAATAGCGCGTAAATCCCATGTACATTTTGGGTATCATTTACGTAAATTTTACCTTGCTTGATGTAATTTAAAGCGGCCTTTAAATACTTGAATTTGCTCAATTTACTTTTAATGTACCTTCTGCGTACTGACAGGGGTGTTTTCTAAAATTCGAACAGGCGGTTTCCAATTGAAACATGGTATCTGACATACCTAACATATTTTCGGAGAGAACGTGAGAATTGTGCTTCCAGAATCATGTGTCAAACACAAATCTGTGACATTTGTGTAAAAAACAAAAATTTACTTACTTTTTTTACAAGTAACTTTTTGGCAGGAGACATTGCCAATAATGCTACAACTGCGATTTTCTTTAAAAGTTTACCGATTACTTTCACAATTATTTTAATAGGAAGTTTGAGCATTTTTGGACGAACTGTTTCTTGAACGGCTTTGAGAATATAAAAAAAGGAGCTTTGCTACACTTTGCTGGAATGTGTGAGGAATAATACTGCGTTGGAGAGCTAAGATGCGGTTGGCTGCTTAAATTCTCAATGAAGGGAGCGATTACACTTTATAGCTCGTCGTAATGCAATGCCCGCTGGTAAAATACTCGCTCGTCATTATTGCCAGATTGTGCTGAAAAATCAGCACCGTTTCCCGCATAAATCCATGTAAAATATCTCAATTTAATGGCACAATCTGGCAATCTTGACACTCGTGGAAAAGTTGGAGTATTCGAACTTGCAAGCTGTTTTTCATTCCTGATAACAATCGAAGGGGTCAAACATCCTACCGTGGGTGCATATGAGGAACTGGGGGGGAGGGAGGTCTAACTCTCAGAAATTTGATTGGCCCCAATTCGAAAATGGAAGGGATTTTGTGAATGAACTGTGAGGAATTTCTCTAGCATCTTTTCGATTTTATTTACATCAATTTTTTGGTGAGAACATCTCAAAATTGCTTCTAAAACGGTTCAATTTTCAATATTTTCCCGAGAACGCTAGACAGACCCCCTTATGGAGCAGTGGGTGTCTCTGCGAACCTCTCGATTGAGTGTTTTTTAGTGCCCTCCCATGAAATTTTCGTTTAACCAGCGGGCTGATTAATGGAATTGACAAACGGAGAAAAAAACTTCGTGAATGGGACCCGAAGTTGAGGTCATATGGATCTCTGAAGATTTTGGATCACGTATCTAAACACTTGAGGTTCAGCTGCCGAAGTTCGGGTTAGACATCTGAAGTATTTTGATGTATACCGAAGGGTTCGAGTCACACATCTGAAGTACTCCGGTACATACCGAAGTGCCTCGATGTCTGCCCCGAACTTCGGCAGCTCGACCTCAAGTTGTCGGATGCGTGATCAGAAAACTTTAGAGATCCATATGACCTCAACTTCGGGTCCCATGAACGAGGTTTTTTTCTCCGTGCAGATAAAGGAAACTTAGAGAACGTGAAGCGATCCTATTGGTGGAAACGGGTGGTTCCAATACACAAAAAGACTTAAAAAAAGAGACAACCCCTATTGCCCATTATGCAACACTCAATCCATCGACAATGCAGAACACACCTTCTATCATTGCAATCAACCACTTAGATTACAACCACAAAATCAACTGAAAGAACCTTTAACACCAGAGAATACCGTATATCTGATGACATTATCAAAAAGCAAATGGAAAATCATACAAGAATTTGTAACCACCATCCTAAAACAGAAACAGCAAGCCCTCAATAAAACTGAAGATATAACAGGACCAAACCTCGATGCGACCCAACCCTCCTCCCTCGACGACAAGTCAATAGACAATTCCGAGGAAAACGAAGAAGATTACCTATAAACATATAGAAGACTGAGGATCTTCAAATGTAACTTAATCTATAAAATAAGTCTATAAAAGGAAACTACTTGGGGGAACCAATATGTAAATATTATAGGAACTTCTAACACTATTAGCATGTACATTATATAGGCCTTCGGCCATAATTCTGTCCAATTATGGTTCCACAATGTAAAATAAATAATAAATAATTCGTTTAATTGAAAAAAAAAAAAAAATACACAAAAGGAGCTCCTAACAGACTAATGGCAACCCACAAGAGACCCTACAACTTTGGAGCTCGATGATAGCCTAAAACTGATGAACCAATCAGAGAGCGGCACCGAGATGGCAATACTCTCCCGTATACAGGTACCTACTCTAGACAGGAGCGCGGACGGAAGGGTGTTTTTGAAAATTGGCGGGGTTTGTTCGTGGCGCGCGCCACCCCCGCGACAGCGACGGCGCGCTGCGCCCCGCGCCTTCACGCATCGGCCTCGATCGATTTGACTTGACTCAGTTAAGGAGTCCTACAACGGCGCGTCGCTCCATCCCCGATTCCTCCTCCATTCCGGGTCCGCGGGTCACAGCTCTGAATTGTATTCCGCCCATGAATCACAAAATTCCACGGACATCGCCGCGAAAAAACCACCCGAATGTCCCGCCGCCCTCGTCCGAGCCGCTTGCCATGAGGAGGAGGAAAGAGTCCAACTCAGTATTGGTGCGTTCGCGGTCCCTTCAGTTGGCTGCAGTGCCTCGTTAATTCCAGTGGTGTGGTCAATACATTTCATAAATGTCATTTTCCTGTGTGGATTTTGGACAGTTTGAGTGTTTTACGCGCGATCACTCGGTTCCACCCGATCAATTCGTTTCATTTAGTTGTTCCCTCGCTAGTTTTACCAATACGGATAAAGTGCGGTAGATTCTGTGTCATCTTTGGCTCCAATCCGTCTGCATGTAGTTAAACATTCACATCCCAAAGGTAAGCTAAACGTCGATTCTCGACGATTTCAAAGTATGCGCTCTGCAATCATCATTCTAAAATTATATCGATGTCCAATTGTAACAGCCTCGTCTAAATTGTGCTCCAAGGATGAGGCCCCTCTTTCTTGAACTGCCCAATTTTTTCTATTTTCATAGTAATGTCTATTTTGGGGATTATATATGGATTCAGAGACGTTCCTTGCCCCGCATTTTTGTTGCATGAATAATGCTAATTTACTTTCATTTGAATTTGTACCGAGGAATACGAAAACCTAAAATTGTATGTAAATTCTCGGATCAGTAGCGCTTGCCCATCGAACAGATCTGAGCCCTGACCTCAGTACTTAGCGAGCGCTGACCTCATTTATGATGATTCTAATGGCATCGTCGCGAAAACAATCTATTCCGAAGAGAAACTGATTAAATTTCAGGCACATAAGCATTTTTGAGTTCCTAAGATCTGCATAATAATACACTGTTCAAGAGGAAAGCGGAACCGATCAGTACTATAAGCTGATTTAAAGGCGAGTATTTTTCATCTAACCGTCTGATATTTTTTCAAAGGATGCGCGTATCGAAAAGTCGTTGTTAGGTAGGCACAGAAATAATAAACCCCTATTTTTTTATGTGTGGTATTAATAAGTGAGATCGTGCGTTAGTGTCCCAAAAAATATACCATAAAAATCTCAATCATCTCCCACTTACAGGTTCATAACATTCTCAGCTCCTGTATCTAATGATTTTCTCCAGTGTATCTGGAGGGTGCACGCTATAATAGGTATCCTCAAGATATTTTACGCACCCATTTTTTTGTATTGAAACCTATTCCTTACGCAGGAATAGTCGTGAGAAAAAAATGTTTGCATTGCCCTTTCAAAAAGGTCTTGAGGTCATCAGCAATCAGCGTCAATCAGTATTCAGCAATCACCATCAATCAGCAAAAATAGGCTGTCTTGGAATTGGCAGCCATGGGTGATGCATCAGGTGGTTATTAATTTCTGTGAAGATTATTTAGGTGAGATGCGGCGGCTGGCTCCGTTGGTTTCTTTGGGTTTTAGCAAGAACAAAAAGTACTCGGATTTTGATTGAAACCAATAGAATTCAGAGTTTCAAGCATTTAAAGTTTCGTCGGCCCTTTAGGTGCATAATGCAGTGTCAAAATACCTATTTTATAGTACCTTTGCACCTCAAAGGCAGCAGCCAGTAAAAAGTTAACATATTGGGTAATTTACTCGTACCTACAAATTCCTTTTCAAGTTATTAAATAACACAGATCAGCAAGAAAATTAAAATGGTTGGTCCTTTGAAGTCTCTACGTCGAAAATCAACGGGCGAATCGCTGTGTTTAAAGAAAGGTGGTCGTGGCATGATGTTAATGAATGCTAAACTGTGTGCATTTTTGGGCGGAGCTGGATACATTTTTTGAAGGAGAGCATGGATGGAAACTGTACCCCTCATCAAAGGGATATAAGGGGCATGGGTTTTCCTACGAAGGCCCAAGAGGATCTGAGAGACTTCCACAGCTTCGAGGGACGGCCTGCAGGATCCTTGAGAGAATATTAAGCTATTCTTAATAAAAAATTAATCAAAATAAAATTTCAAAGATGAAAGAAATGTCGGCAATTATTTAATAAAATCCCTATTTTTACCCTCCCAAGAATATTTAATGGAAAATCCGTATTGAAATATGAACCCGCACTCTCTTAAAAACGGAAAGAGGAGCGAACTTGCAACATCGATTGACACCTGCTCTTGTAGTTACTCTGCCGATTTATCATTATTTGTTGTTTCGCTTTTATTTCTCATTTTTGCTTTGCGAAGAGAGAAAATCGAATGAAAGTGACCCGTAGGTGCGTATGAATTTCCCCTCAAAGGAAATTTTGAAGAAACGTGTATCTGCTGAGGCAACTGCACTAAAGAGCAGCGCGTGCGAGTGGACCACATTTTACAATAGGCAACTACTAATTCCGGCTCATCTTACAAACAACATATCGACGGTGAAACTACCAAACCACGTATCTTGCTTTGCGACGTCGCAGACTTCCTGTCATACTTTATTTTTTAAATAGAAAACTACTCAACGTCAATTCGTGAAAACTTCCGTGATTTTTCCTCTTTGTGCGGAGAAAAATTTGTGAAAATTGTAAGGAATGATATTGATTTGATCTCCTTCAAAAAAATAAAATGTGAGTGGAGATTTTTAAACACAGCAAACGAGATACGTGGTCTGGTAGTTTCACCGTCGATACCTATGTGCCATTCAATTGCCCTTGTAGGTAGGTGTTTCTATGAATGAACCAGAAGTAATTGTTCCTCGTTGCAAAATGTAGTTCAATTAAAATTATCCTTTGTATAGCCTCCTGTCAACAAAAAATATAAAACAACTATTTCGACTCCTCGGTAGCTCAAAAAACATAACCATCGGATTAATATAACGAAGAATTTTTCTGACATTTCACCAAAGTTATATTCATGTGTTATCCAAAAAGTATACCAGGCAGCCCAAGGGGTCTGCTCATTCTGATTTCATTTTATACTTCTCTTTCTTGCCCATACATAATAATGTCATTCATAGAGTGATCCGAAATTCCTGCACTACCTCTTTAAACTTCAGAGCTCTTAACCCTTTCCAGATAGATCCGCCTGAAATTTTGGAGGGTCTGAAAAGTTGTCTCCTTTAGTGGCGAGGCGTAAATGATCGATAAATC